AAGTTCTCAAAGTTGAAGGGGGTGAGGAAGCCCAGGGACCCCAAATGGAAAGCCATGACTGGGGGTACGCTCCTCTGTTGGCAAAGGAAAAAAAACAACAACAGGGAGAGGGGGAATGTTAGAAAGCACGGAGAAAGAGTTGGGGAAAACAGCATCCCCTGAGCATTTTCGTCCTTGTTCTTACGTCTGGGACAAAATGCCCTTGAATTGTTTTGCATTAATTGGGAATGAGTGCAAAATCCGGAGCAAATGCGTCAAGCTAACTTTTGCTCGGTTTGCAAAGTTAGCTCAGCAAAAAATCACCGGTTCTTAAGACATTTTTCTCTGTTCTATGTCGTTTTGGATTTTTTTTTTTTTTGGTACTGTTTCTTGTTTTTAAATGTTTTTAAGAATTTGTAAACCATCCAGAGTCACTGGGAGACAGACCATGCTGGAAACAAAAAGCACAACAATTTTGCGGTTGGCTCTTCTATTGTGTGTTTAAAGGCACCTGCACTGTCCTTGTGTTCTACACATTTGTCTGGGTTTCATTTAACCTGGACTTTTTTCTCCAGGTCTCGGTAGAATAAATGTGTGGTTCTTTTCTTTTTTCTTTTTTTTTTTAACCAATGGGTATTTGAGCTCATAATATACCGGGAAAAGCGATGAAGCGTAGAGTAACGTCCCGTCTCCGCCCAGGCAGATGATAAAATCTATCTGATCTGAGATATCGTCATAATCTACAAAAAGGGGGGAAAAAGACATTTGTTTTTCAAGATCTTAAGACTTCTAGCCCTGCCACCAATTAAACAAGCAAAGATGCAGGCAGATGACAGAATGAAAGATCTTTTTATCTGGTCCTGTTTTAACTATGGTCATTTAATAACATTCATGCTGGGCTCTTTGGCAGCTGCCTGACATTAAAAGTTATTCTTCCCAAGCCCGCGTCTTAGAGTCTTAGAGACTGGACAGTCGCTTGTCTGAAATGGCATAAGGTCTCCTGCTTGAGCAGGGGGCTGGACTAGAAGACCTCCAAGGTCCCTTCCAACTCTATTCTGATTGATTGATTGATTGATTGATTGATTGATTGATTGAATCACGTTCACATGACTATAGGGCACTACAAATGGCTGTAAAGATGGGCTGGTTGCAAAGTGCCCAAAATCTGGTCACGTTGACTATAAAGGGCTCCCCGACATAGGACCTTTGAACCAGATTGTTAAGTAGCTTTTCTGGGTCCGTCTTAAGCAACCGGTCGTAAGCTGAGGACTCCCCCATACTATCTATCTGGCAAGAGCCCTTTTGAACCACCTGGCAGTGCCGAGGCGGCTAAGTACCTTCACTAAACGTGCAAAACCGCTTCTTCACCGACCCAAAACTCTCATCGTTCACAATGGCTGGATCTTCCAGGACTTTCTTCTCCACGTAAACCAGCATACTGTTCACCTGGAAAGGCAGAAGTGGCGTTGACATAAACAAGTCAACAACATCAACAACAACAAAAAACCTCTGAGGAATCTTCAACGGTCCCACTGAAGCAGGTCAGCCCAAAGAATTACTGGCCGTATTCACATAGCTTGCTGAGTTAGTTTCAATGCTGGTTAATTACGTATGTTAAATTAAGCTGGGGAGACGAACTGGGTGGAATCGTTTTTATGCCGCGACGGCCAAAACAGGATGCAAGCCTTCCAGTATTCCAAGATCTGCACCAGCAGGAAAAAGCCAGGATTCGTAGTCCACGTTCTGCTTATCTAGGAGAGGGAGAATGACATAGCCATGTCCAGCTTACCTCGGTCAGGTAGATGCAGAGGTCTTTGAACGGCTGCAGAAGACTGGCGTCTCGGATCTTCTTGATCACAAGGACGCTTTTGGGCGCTTTGTTCCATGTCAATCGCTGGCTTGCTGGATCCTGAATGTGCCTGTGGGAAGACAAGGCCAGGATGCTATAATTTTTGCACACACACAAACAAAAAAAGAACAAATGGGATTTTTTTAAAAACAACACACACAAGTAGTTTCCCCTTTGCCTGTTGGTTTTCCTCCAGCAGGAGAAATACAATTTTCCAAGGATGGATTGAAATGTAAATTTCTCCCCAGGGTGGATTTTTTTTTACAGGCCAGAATATGACCACATGAACCTCTGCAGTTTTATTTAAAAAAAAAATCCATGTGTTATGTAACGAAACTGTCACTCAGACAAACGCAGACATTCTGCTTCAGTTTAGGAATTTCCCAGGATTCTGCTTTGTTTCAGAGCTTCTGTTAATGCTGAAAGCTGTGATCCCTCGAATGCTGGTATCTGAAAGACGATTCAGTGGGAGAGTCTGGACCGATTTATTCAAGAACCTGTGTCTAACGCAGTGGCGGTTTTTTTCCCATCCGTTCACACGGCCTGTCCACGAGGACAGGAACCTTAAATCTTGGAGATAAGCTACATTTTAGAGACAAAGGCACACCTTTCTGTCCAAGAAGCAAAGCGTCCCTTTAGCAAAAGTTCTAAGAGTTACAAACTGCAAAAAGAGGCTAGCGAACGAGTTAAAGCCATCCCGTTTTATTTACTTATTCAATTTATTCGCTCGCCCGTACGCAGAGGGCACTGCATTCGGTCACTTCCTGGGTGCAACTCTGCCTCTTCGAATCAGCTGACAGGCTAGTGTTTTCCAAACTGGCCCAGACTCCCTACACCAGTGGTTCTCAACCTTTTTAATGCCGCGACCCCAACCGGTCGTAAGTCAAGGACTAAACCGGTCGTAAGTCGAGGACTAAACCGGCCGTAAGTCGAGGACTACCCAACCAGTCGTAAGTCGAGGACTTTCCCTGCCCGGGAGCGCCGCGCATGCGTGCTTCCGCCCCCTGCGCCGGCCGAGGCGTAGCTGGCAAGCGGCAGAGACGGAGCAGGCCGACCACCAGCTGGCCCAGCCCAAGGGAGGTAAGGCACCCGCCGGAAAAGGGGAAAAAAATGGCAGACAAAAAAAAATGGCGGACAAAAAAAATGGCGGACAGCCTTGCTTGGCGACCCCCGTGAAATGGTCGATCGACCCCAAATGGGGTCCTGACCCACAGGTTGAGAACCACTGCCCTACACACTTCCCACAATGCCTCACGCTGGCGGGGGAATTCTGGGAGTTGAAAGTCGTAAAAGTTGCCACGGGTTGGGAAACACTGCCCTAGGCTGCTGAACTCCCCGTGGACGTTCCAGCTTCCAAACACCCACTTTGGCGCCTTGCCAAGGTCTCTGATCTCTGCCTTACGCAATGTGCAAATGCGTCAAGCGAGGGAAGGTGTTGCTGTGAAGCTGCCGCCGGTCGTCCAACAGGTTAAACCCCACGGGCCGTTCCCACGCAAAGCACATCTGGCAGGTGAGCAACGCGGGGGAAAAAGACACAAGCTCTCCCTTATTTAAGCGGGGATGGTGAGCCGGCATCGAACGCAGCGGTACGGGAAATTTCTGCGGCCTCTCTCTGGACAGGCCACTCCGGAAAAGACAGGAGCGCTATTGTAGTAATATCAAAATCACACGTGATTAAATTCACTCCCTTTCTAGGGAGAGGTTGACAAGGAGCTAGATGTTCTCCGGGATGGAGTTTTTTAAGTGCCACCAAGCCGAAGGGGCTCGTATTCCATTTCAGAAAGCAGAATAACAGAGTTGAACGGGGCCTCGGAGGTCTTCTAGTCCAGCCCCCTGCTCAAGCAGTGAGACGTCAATGCTGGCTTGGAAGATCTAGAAATGGACATTCCGGTTAGAGGTGATCAACTCAAGGACTCTGAGATCAGCTTAGTAAATTCTGTCGGAAAGGAGGGGAACGTAACAATGCCGTCCATTGTTTTCCAATGAAGAATCCAATAGCTGGGCAAATTACAGCGGTAAAAAATCTTCTCGTCCTCACGCCGTTTAGATATCTCTTGAGAAGCTGGTCAGCCTAGACCCGCAGATGTTTCGGAATCAAACCCAGCTTTATTATCAAACCACTTTTCTTATCCCTTCACAAAAAGTTCCATTTAGCACTTCTTTTTTTTTAAAGGCAGCTCTTGATTTTAAAAATAACTGCATTCTTATGCTTTCCTTCTCCTTTTTTTTCTTTTCTTTTTTTTCAAGTAAGTTAACCCGAGGTGAATCTGTGTGTATAAGAATGCAGCCAAAGGTAAGAGGGAAGATATTTCATGCTTAAATCCTTCGTATTTGTTGAAATTAGGCTGAATCGTTCTTAAACTGACATTTCTTTGCAGGCTGCAAACTGTGGAACTCCGTGCTACAAGATGGCCACCCAACCAATTTTAAAAGGATATCAGAAAATTAACAAAAGATTTCGCTAACAGTGGCAATTAGACTTATATATTATTTCTACCCATGGCAAATATCTGTCTGTCTGTCTAATCTATCTATCTCTCACACACAAGGATACTACTAAACTAAACTCATGATTTCTAAAGCTGGAACTAAATTCTTCATTCTAACTCAGTATAGTTGTCTCTCTGTTATATTAACAATTAACTAAAGGGGATGTTGCCATCTGGAATCATTCCAGGTAACACTTACAAAATATTAGACAAATATTTTCCCCTGCTGTTTTTTTATCGGTAGCAAAAAAAATAAATCAATAGCCAACTCTATCTGCTGGTGGAAAGCAAGGCTTCAAATCTGGACAGAAATCTGTTTATGCGTTTCCAAAAAAGCCAGAAGGTCTTGGCAATGAACTCAGGATAAATCTTAAGCCATCCCTACCACCTTGCATAACCTGGGAAAGGTGATTATAAAAGTCTGCTTTAAAGCTGCACAGAAGACAGGCAGGCCACAACACCACAAACACGTCAAAGGAAGAAATGAACTATAACCCAACTGTGCCTTAAAAACAAAACATGGAAAATTGAGCCTGTTTTTTTTTTTTTAAACTTTTTAACCCGATGCTTTTTATATACTTCCCGGCAGAAAAATCCACAGGGAAGGAAGGAAAGAAGAAAGAATGGGAAATAATGAAAAGAAAGAATGGGAAAAAAAAAAAAGGAAATTAGAAACCGCACTTCGGAGAACTTTTAACCTGTAAGGTATTTTCGTCCTAACCCTGCAGTTTACTTCAAGGTGGAGCCCGGAAAAATGTGATTTCAGCATTTCGAAAGGATCAACCCGGCTTTCCAGAAACTTCAATTAACTTTTTCTAAGACAAAGCGATAATTAACTCCTCCGGAGGATCTTCCTGCCGACAAAATCTCAGCCATCGGAGTCATTTTCTGTTCACTTTCTCTACTATTTCCTACTCACAACTATTTCCCTTCTCCTCCCAAGACTCACCACTTCCAGGATGACGGACCGAAGGAGCAATTACTGAGGTGCTGAAAAATTTTCATCCTTCTCTCCCAGAAGTCAGGCGCGCGCGGTGAACCCAAGGGCAAAAAACAGCCTCCAAAATAATCTTTTCCGGAGCCAAATAACTACCTTAGAAGTCCGACTTTCATTTTTTAAACTGCTTTGATGCCTCTCCCAAAATCAGTATCGCTGCTTACTTGGAAAAAGCCACCGCAAAGAATTATCCAAAGGCCTCTCAAATCAATACAAAAAAAAAACACAACAAAAACAACAAAAAAGGAAAAGTGCTCGGTGCGAGAATTTAAAAAAAACTACTTTTGCTCCTCCAGCTCCTTGTTGCGTTAACGGTGGTTTACAAACAAGTTTTAATCAAAGCCAGATTTTGCCAGATGGGTCTTTGCATAACAAACCACAATCGTCCTCAGCTTCATGCTGGAATTTCCGATTAAAAGGAAGAGACGGCACGGCCAGCTAACTGCCTACTCGTACAGGCAACTTGGGATTCTTCAGGAGGAAAAGAAAATGATTTGGAGAAGTAAATCTGGACTTTTGAAAACAGCCAGACAAAACTAAAACTGAAAGAAAGGATGTGAAGGAGGGAAGTCGAATCGCTCGGCTGCTGTTGTGCCTCCCGTTCTTGGTTTGTTTTTTTCTTTCCTGGATGCTCCACGGACGAGAAACGCTCCGTGCCTCCTTGGCCAGCGGATTAATCTCAGCACACATTATTATATTGTACAACCCCAGCACAGCCCAAAAGGAGGAGCTGCTCTAACCTGGTGATAAAAAATGGGTGATGCAAGTCCAAAGTTGAATAAGTGACAAGTCTGCCTTTAACCCATCGGCTTCCAAACCACAGGAGGGCCTGACCGTCACCTGGAACGGAGGTGTGCGTGTGTGTGTGAGTGTGTGTGTGTGTGTTGGCCAGGGCAGGGACTGAGTCAGTGTTGTTCCTCTCTCTTGTGAAGAGAGTGGGGCGGCTTCGGTTCTTGACTGTCTTGTGCAGGGGTGTCTTTTTTTAAAAAAAAAACTTGCCATCTGCAAAAGCCCAAGGATTAGAAAACAGCTGGAGTGGGAAGGGTGGAGGATCCCAAACCAGCTTATCAGCCAATTTATGAGAATCAGTCCCTTAGTGGATGCACAGGAGTGCTGATGCAGACTGGGGAATTCAGATGGGGGGGAAAAAAATCAAGTTAAACCACAATTGACTCAGAGATATGAAGAAACGAAGGACACAGGTTACGTTGTTCGGACGAGTCAACAAATATTAACCCTGTCTGCCTCTCCACTTTGCATTCGGCCTCTGTCGTGGGCTAAAATGGTTTATGAAGGAGCAATGAGGAGGAAGTTTAAATCGCCAAGAGAAAAACCCAGATCCCAAACCCCAGGATTGGATCTGAGTAGATCTAACAACCTGCTCAAGCTGGCATTTTCCTGGGAGGGGGGGGGAAAGACACGAGTCCTAGCAGGTACAGAAAGCGATGGAGTTGGGGGGTGGGTGTCTCTTTCTCAGCCCTGTGCAGAAATACTAGGGGTTGAACCCAGAAAATGGGGAAGCAGCCGTTCTCTTAATAGAGGATCATCGTTCCTGATTCTCACAGGTTCCCCCCCAAAATAAAACCCCACATCACCATCCATTTCCTGGCAGTACACATGTGAACAAATTTTAAAAACCACCCAGACACCAGGAGACGCCAGATTTCTTTTCCAAAATGCTACCGTGCAAAGCTGCCATGCAGAAGATAAATCAGAATTATTCTCAGGTGAATAGATTTCATTGCCAAAAAATTTCCAGTCTCCTGCAGCGGAAAAGGCAGTGGTGAATTTGATGGAGACATAAGGAATCTTCTATCAGGAAGCATCCTGAGTGTCAGATTCTGGACTGAAACGTATGTCGTGCGTGTGTACACAAGGCTCGTGAAAATTTTAACTTATTGCCCAGGCTTACGCACCCGCAAAGACAGATCAACTGGGTTCACGCAAGGTGCTAAAAGCTCGAGTAGCTTTAATCATGGTTTGTTTGCAATCTAGACAATTTCAGCCGCTGTTTGGGTGCAAGGGCAGAAAAAAGGAATTAATTTAATCGTCAGATCAGCTGGTTAGGGTGACCTACTGGCCAAAATAAGGAGAACCACTCAACCCTCAAAGATGGAGAGAAAGACCTGCATGTTGTTTAAAGGTCTAAAACCTCCCACTTGCCCAATACACGTCAAAAATAAGAATTCACACCGACTGTGCTGACCAGCCTCTCTTAATGAAAAACTATAGGCTGAAAATACCGTACCATTTTGGTCCCAACTGTTTCCCCATTTCAGAAAAAGCTGTCAGCTGGCACCGCTAAAGGAGAAGTGGTGCTTTTCAAAAAATTATGATTAAATGAATTTCTTCTACGCTGAAAGGCTGCTCTGGAACACTGCTGGAAAGTAATTCTAGATAATTGGAGAGTCTCTCCAGAGCCTTCAGGAACAGGCAGTCCTCGACTTATAACGGTTTGTTTAGCGAACATTTAAAGTTACAACGGCAGTGAAAAAAGTGACTGAGGGCCGTTTTTCACATTTACGACACTTGCAGCCTCCCCGCGGTCACGTAATCACAATTCGGACACTTGGCAACTGACTTGTACTTATGACTGTTGCTGTGTCCCGGGGTCATGTGACCCCCCCCTTTTGCGACCTTCTGACAAGCAAAGTCAATGGGGGGGAGAAGCCAGATTCACTTAACAACCGGGTCACTAAATGAACAACTGCAGTGATTCACTCAACAAATGTAGCAAGAAAGGTCGTCAAATGAGGCAAAATTCACTTAAGGAATGTGGTCGTAAGTCGAGGATCGCCTGTAAACAAACTCTCCTTGAGATTTTTTAAAATAGAGGCACCTGAACTCAAATGGCTGCAAATGTCACCCTCTAGAGGCAAGATGTGTCGAGAAACAAAGAACTGTTAGAATTCTGTTGTTAAAAGTATAACAGCAAAATCTTGAAAGCCTCACAGATTCTCGGCCCCTCTTACACCAAAGAAAATCAAGGCTAGGCAATCTTGACTTTCTTTCTCACTCCTTCCTCCCTTTCGGGACTAAGCTGGCATTCCTTCTTTGAGGCCACTTCTGCACTCCTTTCTTTTTCTCTCTTCTTCCCAACCTTGGCTTCGCCAACCTCTGTCTACAGCTCCCACCACAGCCTGCCAAACGAGGTTTCTGGTTAGACTTCAACGGCACGTCACCCAACGTTTGGAGACTCATCATCAGAAAAAGCTGGTATGTCAAGGACGTCACTCAGAAGCGGAAGAAAACAATGCGAGAATCATACAAGTCTCCAAGCACGATGCAGACCAACCCTCTCTACGTTGTGTAGGAAAATCAATTAAATGACCTTCCAAGATCTTCCAAGGTCCACTCACTCCATGGACCTGTCTTAATTCCTGTTTACTCCAAGGGCCACTGTAAATATCCCACTGAAGGTAGCAAAAATATATTCCAGGCGACAGGCAATGGAAAATATACACGGAAAAGGCAACGGGCACACAGACCAATCCTTTTCAATGTGAGATGAAACGCTATGTAGACATACCTTATTATCCCATTTAAAATGTCCCTTTGGGGAGAGGATTTTGATCAGAGCCAGTCTACTTCTGAGGCCCTTTCTGTGAAGGAGGCCAAGTTCATGAGGTCAAGTTGTTCAAAACTTGTTCCAAAACATGGAACTCAAGCTAAGTCTTCTGTAGGAAGCAGAAGACAAACATCTAGCTGGGGGGACCACACCTTGATAAGCGGTCACCACCTTCTCTCCATTCAAAAACAAATGCACCCCAGCTGCCCTTTTATGGTAACATGATCAAAGTCAACTAAATCCACCTTTGCAAAGCAATAAGCGTCGTATGAGTGAATCAGAGTTTTTATGGGACAAAACAAGGAAACAGTTTTCAGGAGCCACTGTGTTTAACCAAGCAAAGTACAAACAAATTCAACCATTCAGACTGAGGTGTCTGGAATTCTCTGTGACTGTTCCTTAATTTAATCGGCTTTTGTTCCTGGAAAGACAAAGAAGATGGAGGAAGTTTCCACTTACATAATGGCTTGGGGATTCTGCAGCATGCAAGCTTTTGGTCCAAACGTGGTGACTGGGCATGGTCCATGTAAAGAACGTGTCCTCCTAGGAAGAGAAACAGCGGGAATTTAGTTCCCAACAACTCAAGAAGATGCAACATTGTCTTCGAGGATTAAAAAAAGGAACATCAGTTTACAATTTTAACTCCCCCCCCACCCTAAAACCGTCAGCAACAAAGTCTGATTTAGCTCAAAATTCTGAAATTTCAATAGGCTACTGAAAAAAATGTACTCTAGTCTACAGAATGGGTTCCCATCACGTCAAGACAATTTATTTATTTATTTATTAAATTTATATACCGCCCTATCTCCCTTGCGGGACTCAGGGCGGTGAACAGGCGATACTAAAAACCATGATAATAAATGTAGTTAGTCTCAGTTTGACTTAAGGATGTGCAGGGGAATCCAACTAAGTCAACTATACTTTATAGCTGAATCCAGTCTTTCTCAAATCTTGGCAGCTTTCAGATGGGCGGACTTTAACTCCCAGAATTCCCCAGGCAGCTGAGGAATTCTGGGAGTTGAAGTCCACCCATCTTCAAGTGCCAGGATTGAGAAACACTGGCTTAAGATAATCAGGGGAACTCACCAGACAGAAGAAAAAAAGAACCCCAAGAAAAGAATGAATGGTAAATAAAATATGGCAAAAGAGGCCATTTCCTGCAAGGTTGAAACATCCGGTGTCACCATCAGAATGTTCCTGCCGGGGGCTGAAATAGCTCAGTTAGGAACGTTGCAACTCTCAAAATGCTTTGTTCATTTCTTTTACACATATGCTGCAACAAGAATTCCCGACCAGTAATTAGAACTTTGTGTAAGCTACTGGTCCGACAGATTTGGATGCAACTTCCTGTTGCTTCAAAAGCAGGGATTTTAGAGCAGGTCGCGCAGGCGCAAGGAAAGCAGTATATTTTTTACGATATTCAGAACTAATAAAATGAGAGCTGAGGCTTGGTTCGTTCTAGGAAAGAAACAACCTGTAATTTCCCACTGTTAAAAAAAAAAATATCTTAAGATATCCCCGGATGGTCCTGCCTGGAGTTGTTGAGCTGCTGCAAAAACAATGGTGCACTGCTTACTGAGATCTCCAGATGTTGGCCACTGTTCTGGGAGGGATCCCAATTTTGATCTTTGAGGGAGGGCTGGGGGCCGTGAGCCAAACGGCACGGGGACCGTTTCGTTTTTGGGTGGAAATATCCTTCAGCTTAATGCCTACGGTTGATGGGATTTAACACCCGTAACTGTGTGGTTCCCCTGGCGTCACAATACAAATGATTCAGGGCTGTTTTTGGAGCTCTGTGGGGGCCAGAGGTCCCACCCACATTACATCACAGCATTTAAAGCAGATTACTGGCACAAGCTATGAGGATCAGTGACTCAGGCAACCTTACAAAATTTGGCTTCCAATAAGCCTCACGGGGCAATTAGCAATCTCAAGGAACTAAGTGGCCAACAATTATTGTGGTCACCCAGGAGGTGATTTTTTTTTTTCTTCGCCCCAGGGGACTAGGAAAGCTAACCTGCTCCTAACCTTTTTGCCTGTCACCTGCAGCAATCAGAGAGAACACAAGATACAGCTCAGCTCTATCCAGGTCAAGGTGCTGGTTATGGCTTTGAAGGTCCTACATGGCATGGGGACAGGATATTTGGGGGACTATCTCCCCCCTGGTTACACCAAGCCCTCCCACCAGATCTGGCAGAAAAGGCAGGTTGTGAGTCCCATCGACAAGGGAGTTTTGTTGGGTGGGACCTAGGAGAAAAGCCCCAGGTCCCTGCACGGAAGAATCTCTGCCCCATCCAGGGTGAGGCTGGCTGTAATCCTGTTAGCCTTCCATAAGGCCTTTAAAACATGTTTTTTTTTCACCTGGTCTGGAGCCTGGAGCCTGCTAATGAAGGTTAATTGGAATACAGGTAGTCCTTGACTTACAACAGTTTCTTTAGTGACGGTATGAAGTTACAACAGCGTCCCCCGTGGTCACACGATCTAAATTCAGACGCTTGGCAAAACTGACTCCTATTTATGACGCACGCAGCCTCCCCTTTTTTGTGACTTTGTCTAGCAAAATGAATGGGGAGGTCAGGTTCACTGAACCGTGTTGCTAACTTAACAACTGCAGTGATAATCCCTTAACAACTGTGGCAAGAAAGGTCGTAAAACGGGACAACATTCACTTAGCTGCAGTGTTTCTCAACCTTGACAATTTTAAGGCATGTGGACTTCAACTCCCAGAATTCCACAGCCAGCAATGCTGGCTGTGGAATTCTGGGAGTTGAAGTCCACATGCCTTAAAATTGTCAAGGTTGAGAAACACTGAGTCTTAGCAACAGAAATTTTGAGTCGAGGATTTACCTGCAATGCTTACTCTTTTTTTTGCCAGTTTAACAAAAAATCTTTTGAATTCGTTTTGGCTGTATTGGTTTTTAATCTGCTTGGATTGTTTTATTGTGGGCGCTTGCCCAGAGTCACCGTGAGAGAGGGGCAGCTGTAGAAACGGTTTTTTTTAAAAAAAAAATTGATAAAAATAAATCATTAAAGGGGCATCCAGGTATACTGGGAATAAAAGCAAGTTATGTCGGTTTTTAGAGATTATGCTCTGCAGGACCTGGTATTTTAGTGGGGGGGGGAGTTTCCAAGCAGGTGGTCTTATCAAAGCTCTCCCGAATGGTGCCAGCACATACTCTGCCATCTTGATCCCACCCGAACGTGCTGTGCATTTGCAGCCAAGGTCAGAGTCGGACAACAGCTCTTTTGTGTTTTTCCCCCTCGCACGTTTGAAGTCAACAACACTACCTCCTTTATTATTACCTCCCAACAAATAAGCAAACGCCTCGGAGGTCCGTGCAAGGGTGCCTTTGCGTGAGCGTCTCTCTATGGTTATGGAGACGGCCCTCAGGCTGGGGTTTTGTTTTTTTTTTACGTCCCCGTGGTCTGAAAGCTCAAAGCTCATATTTATATTTCTGCTTTCTGGGCTGAGGAACAAAGCAAAAATAAAAAATAAAAAAATTGAATTGCCCTGTTGGAAGTCAATAATGCAGGGAGGTGGGACTAGATCAGTGTTTCTCAACCTTGACAATTTTAAGGCATGTGGACTTCAACTCCCAGAATTCCACAGCCAGCAATGCTGGCTGTGGAATTCTGGGAGTTGAAGTCCACATGCCTTAAAATTGTCAAGGTTGAGAAACACTGGACTAAATGATCTTCAAGGTTCCTCCTAACCCTTTTGCTCTATGTTCCTTTCATTTTGTGAAGGTAGTACCTTTTCTCTCTTGTCAGCCTACTATTATCTTGTTTTATTTCACTGTACATCCTGCCTTTATTACTTTTACTAAATAACTCAAGGCACTGAACATATCCGATAGACCTTTCCCCTCCTATTTTCCCCAAAAACCTGGGAAGTGAGGGACTGGCCCCAAATCACCCACCTAGCTTTCACGGCTAAGGAGGGACTAAAACTCACAATCGCCAAGTTTCTTGCAAGGCGCCTTAACCACCAGACCAAACTGGCTGGCTGTTATAGCTTCACAGGCTCCTTTTATTTTATTTTATTTTTTTAAAAAGGGATCAATACTCTGCTACTGAGTAATTCTGGAGTATTTCAAAGGCTGCTTTAAAATGGTTTGCGGCTCCAGCTAAAACGTTGATGCTACAGATTAATTTTCCCTCTTCTGCAGCCTCCTTAGACAATTCAGAGGCTGTTGGATAAGATCTGCTATCACTTATAGAGAAGGCAGATCTTCTTTAAGCGGGCGAAAAAGGACTAGGTCACGACTCCAATCACTTCCCGGGGATTATCCACTTAAGTAACACGAGGATGATGATGAGGATGAGGATGATGTTAAGAGTTAATGGCTCCATGTATCTACATCAGCCTCTTTGTTTGTATTAGGGCAGTCACAAGCTCAAAGCTTCCCAACTTACCCAATGTTTGCTAAGTGATCAAGAAACAAAAACCAAGAGGAAATAGGTGCTGAAAACGGGACTTTGCAAGCAGTGAAAAAGACCGCGTGAGGGATGCAAAGAATGATTTAAACGTTTGGGAGAGGAGCTGGGTTTTAGAACATGGTTTAAGCCAACTGCCAAGTGGTTTCTTCCTCCCCAAATGGATGACTTCACGCACGGAGCTATGCCAGCGCTTCATTTTGGCCTACCCGGTTGTCAGAACCCCACGGCGGTTCACAAACCGAGATTTACGGTTTAGGGTGCCCAACTCACGGTGGCCTCACCACAAACCCAATTTAAGCCACTGAAGGCCGAGTAGAATGTGTGAACTTATTTGGAGAGATTGGGCAGCCATTCGTCCGGAATATATAGTATAAGGTCTCCTGTTTGGGCAGGGGGTTGGACTAGAAGACCTCTAAGGTCCCTTCCAATTCTGTTATACTGTTACTATATACAAAGAATGTATGCAGGATTTCTTTGGGGCCTCGTGGCAGTTAATCCAGAATCTGGGCAGAGAAAAAAAGTTTTTGTTTTTTGTTTTTTCCAAATATTCAGCAGTTTTTTTCCAGGCAACACAGGCAATGGGGAAGCAGAAGGGCTGGGAAGCTGGTCATCCTTAGTGGATTTAGCCACAAAACGTGTTGCTTATCCCTGAGTGCAACGGTGAGCTGCACAATGAAATTCCTGGGAGATCTGCACAGCCAGGGGATTCTCACTACATCTAATCTCTGCGAAGACACATTGGAAACAAATTATTCCAGAGAGAGAGGAACAAAAACCTCTGTCTTCCAGTGAGAAAAATCTCCTACATAGAAGGGGGGAAAAAAAGGAAGCCAGGCAGTATTCTAGTATTTGAGGGGCTGCCACAAAAAAGAGGAGGGGGTCAACTTATTTTCTAAACCACCTGAAGGCAGGACAAGAAACTATGGGTGGAAACAAATCCAGGAGAGAAGCAACCTGGAATTAAGGAGAAACGTCCTAACAGTGAGGACAATTAACCAGTGGAACAGTTTGCCACCAGAAGTTGTGGGCGCTCCATCACTGGAGGTTTTTAAGAAGAGACCGGACAGCCATTTGTCCGAAATGGTATAGGGTCTCCTGCTTGAGCAGGGGGCTGGACTAGAAGACCTCCAAGGTCCCTTCCAGTTCTATTCTGATTGATTGATTGAAGTTTACTTCCCCCCTCCCCCAATTGCAATCTTCCCTAATTCTCTATAGAAGAATTAAGTCTTCAATCAAATACGGTGGCCTGTTTTAGCCAAGCCAAGAAGCTCAAATTAGCAGCTTCAGCATAAGCCAGGACTTTTCGTCAAATGATGGTTTAATACCCCTGATTTGTTGCATACTGATAAGCTACAATTTTCTGGCGTGGAACTCTGGCTAGAAAACAGCACCTAACAAACTTAACAAAACATCTGGAAAGGAGCCAAACGGTCAGTTTGTGATATATTTTTTTTGAAACGGGGAGTCTCTGGACCTTCAACCTTGGCGGCCAAGAGCTCAGAGGAAAGGTTTTTAGAAGTTTTTAGAATTTTAATATATACCCAGTGCGGTTTAGATGGCAATCACACCGGCGGTTATTTAGAACCAAGGCCTAAGAAACCAGATGAGTGACTGGATAATAATCAGGGGACAATTACGAACTAATCAGGTGAGATCTGGGTTGGGCCCGTCCTCTGAGAGATCCATTCAGACTGCTTATTCATAGGTCAGGTTATTCACTCGAGATCCCCATTCAAAGCCACCCGTGATTGCGTGATCGAGGATCGTGCTGTAAACTGGTACCTGAATTCTTTGGTGCTGCCCAAGGCGGGAGAAGCAGATAAGCTCCGAGTTTTTGTCCGGCCTCGCATGGAATTCGTGCAGCTCCGTTCCTCGTCGGCGTGACAGGTAGGGCACTGGTAGCACATGGCGCTGGGGTTCACGTCCTCGCCGGCTGGGCCAAAAGCCTCCGCTTCCAACTCCATTTTGAGAAGGAACTTGGTGGGGGAAAAGAGGGGAGGGGGAAAAAATGGACAATTTATAATTACCGTCGGGTTCAAAGATCCAGCAATCCCACAATTTGGCTTCTGGATGCATTTATGTACTGGTGTGTATTTCTAATTTGCCTTTCCAGAAGTCTAAGCTGGCTAGCCATGTCCTCATTTCCAACCGTGACTTGAAAGCCCCCAATAAATCAGTGCTGGCGTTTAAAATCAGAGCCAGTAAAAAAAAAGAAAAAAGAAAACAAGTCAGAATAGTGTTGAAAGATCAGAAATTTGGAAATCCCGCCCCCCGTGGAAACTTTTTTTGGCAACCACCCTCTCATCTTAAGACATTGCCACCTCCAGAAGTTTCCTAATTCTTCAGTGACAACAAAAACGACAATTTGGGGGCAGGTTTCTGCTTTTATCCAGTACCCAGAATGATTCACCCAATTTAGCTGTTATACAAGATGTTATAAGGAGGGAAAAGGAAATATGAATGCAGAGAAGTCAGAAAGGAATATTTTGATTTCAAGACAGCCAAGACCAAGGTTAATTTCTTGTTAAGCAGCCTCCAGATAAGGGGGTCCCTTGTGCTCTCTGAGCCTGTTTTCTTGCAGACTTTGTGACTTGGGGAATAAGTCACAACTGGCCCCGAGCCAAAACATAAACCATGGTGTGTAAACCCTAACAGCTGGGCCTCCATACGGTGCTAATCAAAACCTCCCTGACGGCCCCACTATTGATTGGTGCCATGCACAAACACATCACCTAAGTGTGCAAAAGGGGATGGAGGATTTACAACATTAGCTAACAAGTGGGTTTTTTTAATTAATATTTTGAAGACGTTACAGTAGCCGGAATGTTTTTGACCTGCAAGGCTCAATCATTAAAATATTAAATGATATCAAATGTCTGACTTTTCAACGTGCACGGTGGTCCCAAAGAAATGTGGGACCCTACGGTGTTCTGACACACCTGGAGACTGGCATTCTTTTGTGACTTTAGCACTTGAGACAGCCCACTTCCTGAACTGCTTCAGTTTCACCTGTGTCCCACTCTAAAGAGAGCTAGTTTTGTGAACACTTTGCGGAAGAAAGTCTACCAAAAAAAAAAAAAAAAGCAGCGTAAAATTCCCGGTTGGGTGGAGACCCATAGTTTATGAGGAAGTAAAGTCCCACTGCGCAATAGTAGAATATACCAAGCATCCATAAAGAGAACAACAAAAAAATCAATATTTACTTTCTTCCATCCTCCACCCTTTTCAATGGATCATTTCAAAATTACTGGGTCCATTGTTCGTTTCCAGCTCATGTCAACTGATGCGTATTTGCCCATGTTAGTATTTGCCAATTCTGTATCCAATTCATTGATGAGTAAAACTACTAACGGCCTATTGGAACAACGGTGATATATTCTTTAACGTCTTGGTAAAACGTATTAGCTGAGCCAATTTTCTGAAATGAGAACTCAGCGGGTCAAACATTTATTTTTTGTTCTTTTGTTTAATTCAAGTATTTTGTACACAGGTTAGACCGTTAAAGAGTTTAAGTGAGATATTTCTTAAGCGAGTTGTGCCCCATTTCACTACCTTCCTTGTCACATTTGTTAAGTGAATCAGTGTAGATGTTAGGTTGTTAATAACCTGGTTGTCCACGGACTCTGGCTTTCCCATTGACTTTGCGTGACCCCTGGATGCTGCAACCGTCATAAGTATGAGTCAGTTGCCAAGCATCTGAATTTTAATCCCGTGACCAGGAGGCTGCAACGGTCGTTAAGTGTGAAAAACGATTGTAAGTCACTCGTTTCAGTGCCGTTGTAACTTTGAAGGGTGAGGACTACCTGTACAAGCCTGGCAGCTTAACCCCAGTTGGCTGGTTATACTAATAATAATAATAATAAAGTTGGAAGGGACCTTGGAGGTCATCTAGTCCAACCCCCTGCTCAGGCAGGAAACCCTACACCATCTCAGACAAATGGCTGTCCAGTTTCTTCTTAACAACTTCCAGTGTTGGCGCAATCACCGCTTCTGGAGGCAGGTTGTTCCACTGGTTAATGGTTCTCACTGTCAGGAAGTTTCTCCTTAGTTCTAGGTTGCTTCTCTCCTTGATTGGTTCACACACTGCTTTGGCCACACTAACGCCATTGTCAACGGGCCACAAAAATAGCCTGGCAGACACTGTCTTCTGAATCGTATCTTTAAGAAATTGCTTGAATTCTCACACCAGGAGGAAAACAAAGAGACATTCAGAGAAGAACAACAAACGGGTTCTTTTTTGTGTGTGTGTGAGTGCAAATGAAGCGGTTTATTCATCGTTTATACAATTTGTAAAAGATGCATACATACAGCCCTATACCATTCAGTACTATTTTTTTTCCCCTCTCTCAAGCAGAGAAAATATGAGATAACTGGAGAACAGGCCATTTTAATTTTGGCCAATTTTTCTCTGCGTCCTAATCATTTCAAGCCCCTCTACAGACGAATGCACGGCCGTTTTATTATTTATTGGCTGAAAAGTCTGCAGGCAGAAAGTTCAGTTTCCACTTTCTTTATCGCGTTCTCCGTAATCTGTTCAGGAACGGCCCAATTTTATATACAGATAGTCCTCGACTTGCCACAATTCGTTTACTGACCGTCGGAATGTTTAAACCCGATTTTCCGCAACTTGGCAATTTCTCCAGAGGACAATTCCAATCCGCCTGAATCAGCATGATTGCTGGCTGCCTGGGTAGATGGTAGAGACCAAAATCATCTAGACATCATCTGATTTAATAATAATAATAATAATAAAGTTGGAAGGGACCTTGGAGGTCATCTAGTCCAACCCCCTGCTCAGGCAGGAAACCCTATACCATTTCAGACAAATGGCTGTCCAGTCTCTTCTTAAAAACTTCCAGTGTTGGAGCATTCACCACTTCTGGAGGCAGGTTGTTCCACTGGTTAATTGTTCTGACTGTCAGGAAGTTGACTGCAAAATCCTGGCTTGTCTGCAAGTACTAGACCAAGATCCTGGGTTCAAGAGTCTAGTGGACACAAGATGGACAGTGACTAATATTTATAGGTTACTTATATGTAAGGGTGTAGGTCTATACATATGTTGTGTATAGTACATTTTAAATGTGTGTTATGTATGTGTACACGTTGAGAGCAAGCAACTAAATTTCATTTTTAATGGGTGCCGTTGCGCCCACACAGGAAAAAATGACAATAAAGGTTATCTAATCTAATCTAGTGAGGCCTTTTTTTCCCTCTGGCTAGTTTACCCACCCATGTGAAACGTATCAAGTGGGATATGATTGATTGATACAGTGATAAAACCAAGATTATCCAATGATACTACAAAAAAAAGAATGAATCGGTCGTTGGTTTTTATCACAGCCATTCAGCCATGCCTGCCTGTGTCGTATTACCATTTATAATCTGAACTACAGAACAGTAAATAAATGTGCAGAGAGGACTGAAGAATTTCGTCACTCTAGTTCCAGTTGCAAAATCTTTTCTTGCCGAGAAGCGGAAAACAGGAAACTGCAGGACCGAAACGTCCCTTCTCCAAATAAGGTGGATTCTTATGTATGTAACTTTTCTTGCACCGCTCGAAAAAAAAACAAACGCAAAAGGATGGTTGGAATGAAGAACGGGGTTTCAAAGTTGCTTAAAGACATTTCTGAACTTAATAGAGGAGGACGGTGGAAAGCATGTGACTTGAATCACCTTTAAAACCAAGGCAATGGTCTGGTTAAGCCGAGCCACTTGGATTAGCTTCCATTTACTGAATAACCTGGAATTGGCTAGGCTGGCCAAACCTAAGTTAGGAACCCTGGTTTTCAAGCCACAATGGATGAGATGTACGAAGTGTCTGTAGCCCAAAGCAAATGATATTATGGTTCTCAGCCACGCAGGAAGCCAGCATCAGTACAATTTACGATTAACTTATCTTGCCTGGTTTGTAAAAATTTTGAAAAAGGAGGCCCTTACTCTGAGTGTCCCCCAAGGAATGAGTAACTTTATGGTTGGACAACGGCTTAGCTCCAAGCGGTTCACCACCCCTACACACAACAAACATTATACTTTTTCCACAGCCTTGCTCCCACTGGCTTTGAAATTATGGATTTGTTAGATTTAGCCTTGCCGATTTTATTCACCACCTACCAAGGGTGAAACATATACCGTAACACGATTCCTACCTGGTTCGCAAAATGACCAGCTCAACAAGATTCCACTTAATAGTTGTTGTTTTGTTTTCACAATACTGTACTATGAAATTGCAAGCTACCTACACAAGCTCCAGTCAAGGGCCCATCAATTCATGGGTCTGCCAACCCAGGCCGTGAGGTCCATCAACCTAGAAAAGGTTAATTTTTCTGAACAAGCCACGGATAAATAGGTCAAGCGCACACAGCCCAGTGTGTGACATCAAGAGATAATTCTTATCTCTGCTATTATAATGTAGGAAGGAGATAATCTAACTCCACTCAAGCATCTCCACCCTGTTCTGAAGGAGACTGTTGACTTTTTTTTTTTAAATAATGATTGGATCTAACTCAGCTATCAGTTTTCCCTGGATATGAATATTCAACCCCCTCCTCCAATAATTGTTATGTCCATTTCCCATGGCCTGTCAACCCCACAGAAAACCTTGCAAAAGCACCTTGCTGAAAGGAAGATAAACTACATCTGTAGCATTCCCGCTATCTATTACATTGGTATCTCTATCAATCGGTGGCTGTTGTCTCTTACAAATATGCTCTTAATTTTAATTAGACCATCTATATAGAGGAACATTGGAACGGGCTTATTCTCCCTTTATTAATTGTATCCACGGAACTTTTGAAGTCTGACTGCTGAAAGCACTATAGCAACTACTTTCTTTAAAAGACTGGTGTTCCTCCCAAACA